AACACTACAGTCTGCAATCATTTCACCCAAGCTAATTAGGTAAGTGGCCCGCCTCAGGTAACCTGCTTCTTTTCTTTCAAAAAAAAAGGGGGGGGGAACTTTTAATATTAAAACTTTTACCTTTTTTTCTTTTTTCCTCTCCCTTTTCCTTTCGACTGGATAACTTGACTCCAGTTATTAAGAAAACGCCGGTTTGATGGAATGAATATTAATTCATGAAATAAATTATAACCAAATTACTTTTTTTAAGGATTTTGTTATCATAATGCTCTGTTCTTACATTTAGCTTTCTTTGGCTTAATGTCTCCTTGAAATTATCCCTACTAACTATCAATTAATTTTATATATATATATGTATATATATATATATATCAGAAGAGGCTATTGATCCTTGGTCATACGACCAGAAAAAATGTCATAAAATAAAGAAGTAGTAAAATACAATCAGTAAAATTATGTACATTTGCGCCTATAGTTAAAATGAATAATCACACTAAAGTAGTTTCAATTGATCCTCAGTCATACGACAAGAAAAAAAAATAGTAAAATACAATCGGTAACTATTCTACGTTTTGCAGAAACTTTGTTGAGAAAACAGTTTCAAATTCGCAAAACTTACAATACCTACTTGTTGCATTTAACTATGTTTTTTTTTTGTTATTTTATTAATTTTTTTTTCTGGTCGTGTTTCCGGTGATCGATTGAAAATTAAGTCGTTAAATGAGGAATGCCAGCTTTGGTCATTTTTCTGCTGTGTTATTGAGATCATTCATTTTCTACAAGAGACGCATTTGTACATAATTTTTTTGATTGCATCTTACTATTTTTTTTTTTAATTTATGACATTTGGTTGTATATTCGGGAATCATTTGAAAATTAAGTCGTTATGTGAGGAGTGCCCATTTGGGGCATTTTTTTGCTAATGTGATCCTTCAATCTTAACTATAGGTAAATCTGTGCATAATTGTACTGATTGCATTTTGCCATTCTCCGAAATGAATAAAAATAATGATAATTTAATAAAAAATTACTTGTACTGGTTATCCATTATGTAGACAGAAATTATGTTCGGAATATAGAGCCGTTTTTCGAATATTTTGATAACTTTTACTACGCTATTGTGCTGAATAGTGACTTACTAAGCGTGGATTAGTTGTGACACAATACCGACATTATGATGCACCCAGTGACGAACGAACTCAGTCGTCATTGATCTAGCAAGCACGCTTGCTAACAACTAAGCCATGTCGAAAGTCCTCTGCAAATGAGCTGTATAAGAGTATAGAAACAAATTAGATGTGTTACAATCGGTGAAAAGCTGACGTTAATGATATTTGAATAAAACCGTTACTCGCCTAAATATGCCTGAAATAGCGGCTGGGTACAACTATTCAGTTAGCGAGCAGCTCGTTTAACGACCAGTTCGCTGGAACGGAGCCCTGTCGTTAAGTGAGGGTATGGTGTACTTTATTCCAGCCTGACAATTTATTATTCATTTTGTACTACAGTGAGTTGCTATTCCTGGCAAAACTAAACAACTTCTCATTCTCAATGCCGATAAATATCCAGCGTGGTTTAAACTCACCAGAAAATGGTTTGCGACTCTAGCGTACAAAACATCGTCGAATGACTGGCACTCTTTTTTCTTTTTTTAGCCTGTACACAGATGATGGTAATTATATAATTGAATTCGAGAAGTCATATTTATAAAGACATTCAAAGTAATCAGGTATTTTAGATCCTGTTAGATTCTATCCCAGGAGGCACATATAATTATCCGTTTCATTAAACAGAAACCACCTCGGCGTAGACGTGAAGATGATATTTCAATATCAAATACCAAAGTTCGGGATGTACAAGTCATTATGAAGCATTACCGTATTTGACGGTATATAAGACGTACGGGTGTATAAGACGCACTCATTTCATCAGGGCAAATAAAGAAAAAATAAGTAATTAGTAAAATTATTAGTAAATGGTACAGCCTAGGCTATATTTATGAGGTATTATTTTGTTTAAATAAGCCATGATTACAATTAAACGAAAAATAATAGGAGAAAATAACACGAGCCTATAAAAACTTTATTATATCCTTTATAGGATCTGAATACCACCAGCGTCTTGTAAATGACTTAGTGGAATAATTAAGATATAAAAATTCTGATTGTGTTTATATCAATGCAACCGGAAGTTGTCGCAAGAAAAATATTAATGAAACAAATATATTTTACAAATATATAATATGAATTTATTGCATATAATGTTAGTGAAACAAAGTACTAATATTAAGTAATGAACGAAAGTAATATAATGAATATTGTCCAGGATAACACTTTTAATAGACTTTTAAATAATGACAATAGGTACATAAAAGTTACTCTATAGTCTAAGGTAACAGGAATTCCCAGGTAGCTAATTTCGGCTGACTATTTTTAAAACTACATATGGCATATAAGTAGAAGGGGAATTTTAAAAGATATTTTTATAAAAATAAATGTGTGACTGATATGCCGTCAAATACGGTAATTCCCTCTGCCGTGTCCCTTCAGGACGTGGGCGACCATGGCTCTCTACAAACTCCTATCTCTTGCAAACAATAGCAACGTCTCTCACACTCCAGTCTGCAATCCTTTCACGCAAGCTAATTAGGTAAGTGGCCCGCCTCAGGTCACCTGCTTTTTTTCCTTAAAAAAATAAAAATAAAAATGGGAAGAACTTTTAATATTAAAATTTTTTCCTTTTTTTCTTTTTTCCTCTCCCTTTTGCTTTCGACTGGACTCCATTTAATAAAAAAACACCGGTTTGATGAGATGAATGTAAATTCATGAAATAAATTATAACCGAATGACTTTTTTTAGGATTCTGTACTCATAATGCTCTCTCCTTACATTTAGCTTTCTTTGGCTTAATGTCCTCCTTGAAATTAACCGTACTAACTATCAATTGATATTATATATATATATATATATATATATATATATATATATATGTGATATGATATTATATATATATATATATATATATGATATTATATATATATATATATATATATATATATATATATATATATATATGATATGATATATATATATATATATATATATATATATATATATATATATATATATATATATATATATATATATATATATCAGAAGAGGCTATTTTGCTGGTACGGGCAAAATAGACAAACACGCTTCTAAGCTTATTTTACCAGTTTCGGTAAAATATCAGGTCATCCCATAAGTTCTGTCCGTATTTTGAATAAAGAAAACAAGTGACCAAATGTTACATTTAATTACAGATTCAATCAACAATGTATTTTCCCTAATTATCTATGAATTTCTTCCATCTACTAACAAGCTTACTAATTCCATTACTGTAAAATTCTTTTGGCTGTGATTCCAAGAACTCACAAATGTCAGTTTTAACCTCTTCCTATGTTAAAAAAGCTGTTTCTTCCAAATGATTCTGTAAGCTACAAAACAAATGGTAGTCTGAAGGGCCAAGATCGGGAGAATAAGGTGAATGAGGAATTTTCCCCCAACCAAGTTCTTCGATCTTTTGTGATGTGATTCTTGCTCTGTCGGGTCGCGCATTGTCCTGATGAAACATCACCCCTTTTCGATTCACTAGAGCAGGTCTTTTTTTCCTCAAAGCTTGGTTCAAATGCTCTAATTGCTGACAGTATATTTGAGCATTAATTGTTGAATTAGGTGGTAAGAATTCAAAGTGGATTATTCCTTGGCGATCCCACCAGATTGAAAGAAGAACCTGTTGCCCTTCTCGGCTGTGGCTGGGGTCCTTCCCCTTTACCAAGCCACTGTCTACGACGCTTAAAATTTCGATAAAAGATCCATTTATCGTCGCCAGTCACAAATCTATCCAAAAAAGGTGAAACAAGTTGGAGAGAAGAGCAGATGTCAACTCGAGATTTGAGGTTGTTTTCAAACAATTCATGAGGCACCCATTTTCTAAGTTTAGGAACTTTTCCAAGTTGTTGAAGATGACGATGAACAGTTGTATGGTTTGAACTGAAAACCACTGCCAATTCCTCAACTGATAAAGCAGGATTTTCTTCAGGGGCTGCTTCAAGAAGCTTTTCATCAAACTCAACTGGACGTCCGGTTCGATCTTCATCTTCAAAGGTGAAATCTCCACCTCTGAATTTTGCAAACCATCTTCTGCAAGTTCTTTCATTCACACATTCCTCTCCATAAACTAAGTGAATGTTTCTAGCCGCTTCGGCCGCTGAGTTTCCTTTCTTGAACTCATAAAGCATTATGTGCCTCAAATGATTCTTGGGTACTTCCATGTTAGCAGGGTTTTAATCAAACAAAATTTAATTTTATTCTCTGAAATAAAATTTGATCAGTTTAAATGCATCTAAACATAAAAAATAATGTTCTGCTCTATTAGACATTATAAAATACTCTTTAAATGTCGTTCATTTTAACAAAAAGTTAAAATTCGGACAGAACTTATGGGATGACCTGATAGAACCCCAGGCTATTTTGCTGGCATTTTTTCTATTATTATGAAGGAGGGTAATGTTAAAAATAATATCACAGATATAACACAAAAGATTATTGATTTTCACCAGACAATTTAAAATCTTTTCCGCCATTAATTCTTAAAACACTAGTTAAAATAATTTATTCATCATTAACAGAAATATAGAAGTCTCTGAATATTTTAAGCAATTCAGCTAAAGTAAAGGTAAATTTAAAGTTTTAACAGTCTCTGCAAATCCAAAACTTTACCTTGGGCGTGGTTCTCTTGCCAATGCACTTCAGGGGCACCCACTGTCACATACAACACAATCGTTCTATTCGTTCTATTATTCTTCCATTGTACATGGGGCGCCTCGGTGCGGTGTAATGGTTAGAAAGCTTGTCTTGCTAGATCAATTATGACTGGGTAGTGAGTTCGATCCTCACTGGGTGCCCCATGATTTCGGTCTTGTGCCACATCTAAGTGGAGCTTAGAAAATTATTAGCTTACGGTCAAATCACGCTGAAAACACCGGTTCTCGTTCGATCACCGAAGTTAAGCATCGTAGAGCCAGGTCAGTACTTAGCTGCGGGACCGCTCAGGAACACGTGGTGCTACCGGGGTAAATTTACAATTTTGGGGCACCCCGAGGTGGTGTAATAGTTAGCAAGCTTGTCTCGTTAGCACAATTACGAATGATTAGTGAGTTCGATCCTCACTGGATGCCCCATACTTTCGGCCTTGTGCCACATCTAAGCTACGCTTGGAAAATCGCTACTTCCATTGTACATATTTATTTTCTTCTATTTTTTGTCAGTTCATCTAAAAGCAAGGCGATAATGCTACTAAGACGCAAGGGGGCTACAGGGAGTGAAATAGAATGAAAAGACTTTAGAAGCGACTAGAGACCCAATCCTAAAGAGGAAACAAGGGATAGACATCCCGCCCCTATTCCGAACGATAGGCGAACTTAGCTACTCTTATTGGGGAGAACAAAATTAATAAATAAATATTTAATAAGCAAAATTTCAGAGTTCAAATGTATTGAGTTGGAGAAGACTATAGAAGGACCTGGAAACCAAATCCTAAACAGGACACAGGGGATGCACCTCAATTTATGTTCAAAAGACCGAGGAGGAGTGTGAACCGGGTATTTTCCGGCTATTATAAATTCTAAATTCTTCCAAATTAATCTTCCATTGTAAATAATTTTCTCATTCCATTATAGATTTTTTTTCTTATTTTTCTACCATTGTAAATTCTTACTATTTTCATTTCATTTAAAAAAAATTCTATTATCATTTCATTGTTATTTCTAATTATTACTGTAGTAAGTCCCTATAAAAATAAAAATGAAATAAAATGAAATATAATAAAAATATAAAATATAGAAAATAATAAAAATATAAAATATATAAACATAAATAAAATAATAAAATAAAAATAAGGCATTTGCGCTTTCCTTTCAAATCCTTATCTCCCTCTCATTCTCTCATTCTCACTCTCTCTCACTCTCTCACTCTCTCACTCTCTTTCTCTCTCTAAAATTCTCTGTATATACTTTTCGCTCAACTAACGAGGAGGCAATCTTCAAATAAAAAGAAAAAGAAGAAAAGACTGAAAACAGCCGAAAAACGCTGGAAGTCTGTGGAACCAAAACCTACTAATTTGTGACTGAAAACTACAAAAAGCCAGGGAGTCTGCACGCATAACTTCCGTTGTAACAACAATGAAAAAGAAAGGAACACCTGAAAATAAAAATAATTTTGGCCAATCAAAAAAATTTAACAGAAATAGACTTTTGAGTTTCCGCCAGAATCTCAGAGCCTGGTCAAAAGGATATAAGCTCACACCTCTGAGCTAGACGAGAAGAAGGCAAAGCGAGAGTGATGGCAAGAGACACGACCGCGCTTAAAACCAGTCATACGTGACGCGTGAAGTAGCTAAGAGGTTTTCTGCTAATCATATTTATGTCCTGCTTACGGCCGAGAAAAAAAAAACAGAGTAGATTGACACTGACCTATTTTAAAGTGAATATGCCTACTATCAAGTGCTGTCATCCAAACTCTCGAATACCGAGCAGAAACCTATTTCTCCAAACTACGATCAATATCCGCCTCATAAACGAACATTTTTGCTACACCGAATATCAAAGGACTCACTCATCACTCTAAATAAATAATAAAATAATTTGATTATACCTTACACCCTTTCTCCAGTTCGTTTTATGTCCTATGTTTCTGATAAAATAATTACCAAGAAACATCCTACCAACCAACACCACACGTAATCACGTTACCATTCCATTTTAAATTCTTTTTATTAACATTCCAATCTAAATTCGGGCATATCGGTGTGGTGTAATATTTAGCAAGCTTATCTCGCTAGATCAGAAACGACTGAAAATTGAGTTCGATCCTCACTAGGTGCCACATACTTTCGGCTTTGTGCCCCATCTAAGATACGTTTAGAAAGTAACCAATCCAATGTCAATTAGCGCAATTATTTTCCCATCGGAAGTTCTAAATGATAACGAATTCTTTCTGACATCTTGCTATCATTCTATTCTATATCCATGCTTTTAGAAATTCATATTTACGTCATTTTAAATTCGTACAATTATTATTCTATTTTAAATTCTTTCCATTTTCTTCCTTCTCAAATTCTTATCATAAAAATTCCGTTGCGAAATCTTTCTATCATTCTATTTCCCGACGGTTAAAAATCACCAAGAACTTGAGAAAGATAATCTTCAAACAATTTACAACAACGAAAGAAAAAAAAAAGACTGTGTTAAAAGGAAATAATCTGTTCAGGCGAAATAACACAAAATAAAATCACCTAACTCGGCTTATGATGCTTCTGTGTTAACTCCAGCGACAGACAGGCGAAGATGTGAGTTAACTGTTCTTTCTCCACTACAACAACTGTATTGAAACATCTGTTTCCTTTCTTAAATATTGTTTATGTATTTCTAAAGATGTTTATTTTGTCCGAAAACTGACATAATTATCGTTATCCGGTACAATACTTTGTGTAGATAAATGAATTTTCTTTTTCCTTTTCTCGTTTCTTCCATTAATCATTGGTTCTGACCTGGCATCTCGGCTTCACTCACTTTCCCACCACCGTAATGTAGTTCTCGTGTGTCTTTTTTTATAAATACTTTCGTGGTAAATATTTTTCTCTATGGTACCTATGGATAATGGCTTTTCTTTTCTTTTTTTTCCTTTTCTTGTTTCTTCCATTAATCCCGGAGCATATTATTTTTTCTTTCATATATTTCCTTCAGACATTTTTTCACTGTTGAACAAAGATATCTGTTATGACGTATTCAGAGTCAGTATTTGCTGATTTGTTGATCTTCTTCATTTATGTACCTTGTTCCTTCAAGTTCCACAACTTCCTATCAATTTTATATCAATACACAATGCTTATCACCTTCCCATATTTGTTCAACCTCTACAGCGATGCTATCCTAGAACTGGAGACCTTACCAGGATTTATTATCGGTGGGCGTAATCTTAAAAATATCCGATACGTAGATGACATTGATGATGGCCGACTCTGAAAGTAAAATAACACGACCTTCTTGACAGGGTGGTAGAAGAAAGCGAGAAAAAAGGACTAACTATCAACTGCAAGAAAGCAGAAAGTCCGATCACCAGCAATAGGAAAAGGCCAAGACGGGAGTTAAAAATTGAAAATGTCAACATTCTGCAGTTGCAGAATTTTAAATATTTGGGGACGAACGCTGGAAAATGCGATGCTGAGATATAAACACGTATTGGACAAAGGAAAGAAGAATTTCACAATCTAAGCAAGATGCTGAGAAACGAAAAGATTTCGTCAGAAACAAAGATTGAGCGATTCGTTTTCTACGGCTTTGCAGGTTATCTAAAGCCAGAAATAGATTGTGAGAATGTTTTTATATGGTAATGATTTAATGATATGCGTATTACTAATTAACCCATAGCTTGGGAGAGAAGAGGCAGATTCATACCTTTCCCAACTGTATTTGCGCAAACCAGTGATTATTAGAACTCGGCTCACTGATTAAGAATCCCAAGTCATTATCCATAGATATCATCGAGCAGAGTTAATCACAACATTTACCATGAAAGCATTTATAGAAAAGACACATGGGAACTACATTACGGCGGTGGAAAAGTAATTGAAGCCGAGATGCCCGTTTTGAACCATTGAAATTTCAGATTTTTATTTGGATTTTATTAATAATCTCTGAATATATAGCAGAAGCACCAGATCATATGTGGCGGCAGTATTCTAACGAATGGTATACTTGTAAATATGTTAGATAGATTCTGGCGAAAACTAAAACAAAAATTCACAGTAGAACATTTATTTTATAAGTTGAATAATTCCTAACGGGATAAGAATTCCAGAAAGCATTGGCTTCTTTGATGTGCCGCGTTCCTTATGGACATATTCGATCATGGCTCTCCACAACTTCTAATCTTTTGTACTTCTAGGCAATGTTTGTCTCTTTCCTATCTCTCCCAGTTCCTGTTCTGCTATCCATTTGCACAAACTCATTGAGTACGTTGAACATAGCTCTCCACAACTTCCTATCCTTTGTAGCTCTGAGCAATACCTGTTCCCTTATCATTCCTCCTGCTCAACTGTACATTTACACAAACCCCTTAAGTAGGTTGATCATGGCTCTCCACAACTTCCTACCCTTCGTTGTCTCCTTCGTATCCTTCCCAGTTGCTGTTCTGCTATCTATTTACACATACTCGTTAGGTTTGTTAGTCTCTGCTTCCCTCTTGAATTCACTGTTCCCTGTGAGTATCAAATTCGCCAATCACGTTTTTCTATGTATACTAGTAATTTCGACTGTTTCCTTCTGACTTTAAGCAAAGGTGTCCTTTTTGTTCTCTTTTTCCTTAAAGGCTTCTTCGTAGCTCACGCCATCCATCGATGGCTTTCTCAGCATCCTTCTGTAGAGCCGCATGTCTGTTGTCTCGCATTTCCTCTTCATGAAAATATCTTCAAGAAAATATCCAGCATTCATTACCACAGAGCCAGATAAACGACAATCTTAGTTTTCGAATTCAATTTGTAAGCATCTTGAAAGAAATATTATCAGTTAAACGCTATGTTGGCAAAAAATAGAATAAATTTAAAAGATAGTTTGAAAAGTCTGTCAGATCGTTCTTGCTACAGTATTTCTAAAATTACAGACACCCCAAGGGGTAGGAGAAATGTGGTTCTACAGAAGGATGCTGAGAATGCCATAGCGAATGCAAAAAGGAAGTCTTAAACAAAATTCCAACAGAACGAACACTCAGAATTAGCAAAAGACAGCTGAAATGCTTTGGACGCATAATGAGGAATGCGGGCTTGGAAAACTTAGACCACGCGAGGCATATCGATTGCAAGAGAGATAGAGAAAGGAAGCGATTCACTTACCTGAGGAGTTTGTGTGAATGGATAGCGGAACGGGGGCGGGAGCCTTAGCAAAAGAAGAAAAACTGATAAGAGACACAAGGGATAGAAAGCTGTGGAGAGCTATGATCGTTTATGTACAGACGCATTACATAGAATAATGATAATAATAATTAGTAGTAGTAGTAGTGGCGCAAGAAGAAGAA